CGTTCCACTTTACTGCTTTTTTTTTTCACTCATGGGTTACTAAAACAGTTTTGTTTTTAAAATCACATTTTAATGTCTATTTATAATTAGGTACTAGCCACCGTGCATAAGTACATCAACTTCTAAATACTTAGTCACTGGGCTAATACAGTATGTATGTAGCATGAGTGATAAACCATGTCCTAACCTATTACAAACCCGACACGTCTGACTGACAGGTTGTAAAAGCAGTGCACTAATTATAACATATGTTAAGGCCTCTTAGTTTAAGTATCCTCAGTTTTACAAGCTTACTTTGTGGTTGTTGAGGTCTGATGTAAATTAAATTGATTCAGGAAAGTCATGCCAGTGATTTTTTATTATTACAATAATTCTAAACAGTTCAATAATTTGCAAGGCAATTCAACAGTCTATAAGATAGGGAACAGTATCACTGTCTCTGCATAGAAATTGTACCATTCTGTGTTAACAAACAGGGGAGAAGCATTTCCTTAAATGTTGCATAAAATAAATCAAATTCAAACTGAGAAAAGATCCTGAGGGCACTAAATGTGTCTTGGATCAGGAAAGCAACAACTGTCAGTCAGATTAAGTTTGTTTATGTATGTTGACTCATCTGCCAGGTTTATATGGTTTGTAAACTAATATGACAGTATGGAGATACCATAACAGTAAAATACTCTAAACATGAGAAATACAATTATTATTGCTTTATTCTTGTACTTAAAAAACTTTATCATTTCGGGGCTATTATCTAATAAATAACACTATCAAATTTTTCCTGAATTATCACTTAATTGTGATAAATTTCTCAGTTTTAAAAAAAGCCATATTATGAAGCATTTAAAAGATCAAACATTAAATGGCTGGAAATAACCATGTCATGGCCACTTTAATCTTGGGTACCTCTAGATTAGCTTTGCACCTATCATAACTCCAAATAGTCTGTAATCATTTCATAATGATAAAACCAGAGAGGCTCTTTCTAAAAATGAGAGGATAGTTTGTGAACACACACAAGCCTCCTATTGCTAGTGTTGTGTCAAAAGTGGACAACACAACGAACTGCAACAGCATTAATTAAGTTGATTTTCTCCTCCATAGATAGGTAGACAGCAGTATATATACTGATGAAAAGAGATGTGTAACACTAAGCAAAGCGGGTAATTGAGAAACCCCATATTTTAACTTTTCCAGCTTTACAGCAATTCTCTCTAATGTTACAGAAACAAAGCACTGACAGACATACAATGTGTTTTTTAACTTACAGTTAAGTTCCACTGAGTAGTGGAAACATAACTCCCTTTCAAGTAGCTCCAGGGTCAGTAAATCCAACCAGTGATCACTGCATCTTCCCCCACACGA